ATACGTATCGTGCATGGGAAAAATATCGGCCATCACTGACGAAAGCACGTACAGCAAATGATGGGACCGAAACAAACAATGCAATCAGACCAGGGAAACACATTCCAACATGGTCTGAACTTGAACAGTTTTTAGAAGGTGAAGTGACGATTCGAGTACATGCTGAAAGACGCTCGAATATTGAAAAATCACAACCAAGCAATGCGCTCGCACCCAAAAAACAGCTCAAACGCCTTGGAAAAAACACAAAAAATGAGTTTAATGCAAATTCACAAAGAACCACAAAGTGTTCATCATGTGATGGTTCACACACCATTTATACATGCCAAGAATTCAAAGACATGAACTTAGTCTCTCGTCTAAATAGAGTAGCCGAACGAGAATTATGTGTTCGATGTTTATGGAAAGGCCACATAGGCCAATGTAAAAACAAGAGAAACAATCAACCATGTCCCAAATGCTTGCCAGATCATAAATATCACAACAGCATGCTCTGCCCAAATACAATTTCATCGGCTAATGCGGCCATGAAAGCAGTTGGCGATCAAAACAAACGCAAAAATTGGAGAGGCAAGCAGCCAAATCCCAAGAGACAATGCAAAAACGAAAGTAGTAAAGTTTCAAAGCAGAGCAAACTACATTCGTCAATCAACAAAGTTGGCGACTGGGCATTAATGGCGCAAAGCAACGCAATTAAAAGCATTAACCCAAAATGCCAAAGTAAGTTTGAAAAAACAACATTGTTAGCAACATTAAATATTCTCATAGAGATGCTAATGACTAAGATAATTGTTTATTGCAGAACAATAGCGGACACAGGTGCGACACTCAATTGTGTCACACTAAACTTCGTGATGGAAAACAAGCTGCCAACCACGAAATGTCAAAAAAGAATATTAGGCGTAAGCGGCCCAGAGATTATAAAGCATAAAATCATAGCAATAGTCAGACCATGGTTTGATAGCGAGTTTGCAATCAAAACCGAATTTTTTGTCCTAAAACAACTGGATGGAATTTATCCAGAACGACAAATCAACGTAGCCAAAGATGAAATAAAACATTTAGTTTTAGCAGATGAGAATTTCGATATGCCAGCTCCAATAGATGCACTAATTGGAGTAGAAATGTACTCAGATATAATAGAACCCGGTTTATATAAGCATAAAGACGGTGCAATAATGCAAGCTACACGATTTGGTCACATAATATTAGGCAAATTTATTACTAAGCATCAAACTAATGATTTAATCGCATTAAATGCTATGCAAAATGATGTTTTTAATATAAATAAAGATAAAAATGAAAAATTACAGAATGCATTATCTAAATTCTGGGAAATTGAGGACACAAACAAATGCGAAAGCAAAATAATCTTGAGTGAAGAACACCGCATGGTGGAAGAATTGTTTAAGAAAACATACTACAGAGAAGCAAATGGTAGGTATGTTGTAACTATTCCAATTAAACCAAAATGCAAAGGTTTAGGCCATTCAAAAGCTATGGCAAAAAAGCAATTCATGCAGTTGGAAAGCAGGTTTAGAAAAAACCCTGAATTGAAACAAAAATATACAGAATACATGAATGAAAATATGAAGCATGGCTACATGCGCCTAGCTGACAAGCCAAAAGCCGGCGAATTATGCAATTGGATACCACACCATGCAGTTTTGAAAAAATTCAGAGTAGTGATGAATGCATCACAGCCAACATCAAATGGTGAATCACTAAATTCAATTCAAATGAAAGGCCCAAAGCTACAGTATGACTCTCAACTACAAACAATGCGTTTTAGGAGACATAAACATGCAGTAGCGACGGACATTACAAAAATGTTCAATAAAGTTGGACTTAATCCCAACCAATGGAATTTGCATAGATTATTCTGGCGTGATTCCGAAAATAAAGAGCTCAAAGAATATGTTATGACAGTAGTGATTTTTGGCGAGGCTTCATCACCATACAATGCAGTACGATCGATGATTCAATGCGCAAAAGATCACGCAGATAAATATCCAATGGCATCAGAAACAATCATAACATCATTTTATATGGATGACGGAATTTTCGGATGTGATACTATCATTGAGCTCAAAATCTTATGCAAAGAGGTTGAATTCATATTAGGTCAAGGCCATTTCACACTAAAAGGTTGGACATCAAACTCTGAAGAAATTGAAAAGTATTTAAATTCATCAGCTTCCGAAGAAGTTATCATAGGAGAGAAAGATGAAGAAAAAATACTAGGCCTACGCTGGCTAAAGACGACTGATGAATTATCAATTGTCGTCAAAACAGATGGAACAAAAAAATGCATCACTAAAAGAAGCATTATGAGTGAAATTGCCAGATTATATGATCCAAATGGGTTCATAGCACCCATAGTGGTCAGAGCAAAAATGTTAATGCAACAAATTTGGCGGCTCAAAGATATAAACTGGGACGATAAAGTTCCAGCAGATATAAGCAAGGAATGGGCAGACATCTATGCAGATCTCCCATTACTGAAGAATTTCAAAATAAATCGTTGGTTGAACATCAACAAAAAATGCAAAACAGAGGTCCATGCATTTTGCGATGCATGCGGAAAAGCATACGGTACATCCATTTATGTAAGAGTAGAAAATGAAATGAAAGAAATTTTCTGCTCATTATTATCTGCCAAATCAAAAGTAGCTCCGCTAAAGGACATGACAATTCCAAGGCTGGAACTGCTTGCAGCACATATGCTAGTTGAACAATTAGAAGCAATTGTTGATGCATGCGGGTTTGAATATTCAAATGTAACACTTTGGTCGGACTCAATGGTAGTGTTAAGCTGGATTAAAAAATCACCTACCGAGTTAAAAGCATTTGTGTCACACCGAGTACAAAGAATACAAGAAAAAACAAAACAATGCAAATGGAAACATGTACGATCGGGTGACAATCCAGCTGATTTAGTTAGCAGAGGAATGAATATGCAAAAATTTCTAAAAAGCAAATTATGGTTAGAAGGCCCAAGCTGGCTAAGGCAAGCCGAAAAAGAATGGCCAATACCAATGATGATAATCTCGCCAGATGAAATAAAAGAGATAGAAAAAGAATGCAAAGCAAAAGAGCCGGTGGAAAAAATTTTCAATATGACTTCGGGAGTAGACCGTACAGTCCTTTACAATAAATTCCAAAGCTGGAACAAAATATTGAATGTCACCGCCTATGCACTTAGAGCAATTCGTAAAATCAAGCCAAAGACTATATTTATAACATCCGAAGAACGAAACAATGCGATCGAATATTGGATTAAATACGAACAAAACATAGCGTTTAAGACGGAACTCAAATGCATTAAAACAGGCGATATGCTGCCACCCAAAAGTACGATTACGTCACTCAGGCCATTCATAGATAAAAATGGCTTGCTAAGAGTAGGCGGACGTATAGACAAAGCAAACATTGCATACGAAAAAAGGCATCAATATATCATTCCTCAAAAGTCAAGACTCTCCTTTCTGTTGTTGAATCACGCGCACGAAATGACTATGCATGGTGGTGTACAAATGATAATGCACTACATCCGGAAAAGATTTTGGATCCCAAAATTAAGATTCGAAACACGAAAATTTATCGGAACATGCACACGATGTGTTAAGCTAGCACAGATCACGGCAGATCAAATAATAGCTGAACTGCCAGCAATAAGACTAAGACCAGCGCCGCCATTTCAGCATGTCGGCGTCGATATGGCCGGTCCATACCAAATGCGAGTATCAAATAAAATAAACGCAAATACAAGAGCTCGACAAATGCCAGATATGAAAGGCTGGATAGCAGTATTCGTTTGTCTCGTCACTCGTGCCATTCACTTAGAAGCTGTTGAAGGCATGTCATCAGATGATTTTCTCGTCGCCTACACAAAATTCACAAGCAGAAGAGGCGACCCAGAGAAGATCTACAGCGACAACGGTACGAATTTCATAGGCGCAAATAAAGAGCTGAAAAATGCGTTGGAAAGTTGGCAAAGCAGCCAAGTTCAACGATACGTGCATTTAAAAGGTACAGAATGGAAGTTTATAACTCCATCAGCTCCACATGAAGGAGGCATTTGGGAAGCTGCAGTTAAGCAAATGAAGCATCATTTGAAACGCGTCATTGGTGTACAGAAATATTCATTTCAAGGCATAACCGCCCTGCTAGCTGGCGTTGAAGCATGTCTGAATTCCCGCCCACTATGCAAATTATCAGACGATCCAGACGATCAACAGCCACTAACACCTGCACATTTTTTAATTGGCAGACCATTAAAGCTACCGATGTACGAAAAAGCAGATTCGCCACCATATAGCTTAAAGCGGCTATATGTGCAATTGCAATTCCAAATACAAGCATTTTGGAAGCAGTTCTCGAATGACTACATACAGTCACTCTCGCAATTGCCCAAATGGAAAACAGAACAATCGAATCTGAAAATCGGTCAACTGGTCGTAGTCAAAGCTGACAACATTGCACCTACATACTGGGCAATGGGAAGAATCATGCAGATTCATAAAGGTGAAGATGGTAAAGTGAGATCAGTCCTACTAAAGACGCAAACAGGCCAAATAGAGCGGTCAATAAGAAAAGTATGCGTCCTCCCAGATGACATAGAATTGTCTTATTGGAAAATGTAAATGCGTACATAGTCCAGTTAATGAGTTAAAAGCTAACCTTTTAACGGGGGGAATGTTGTGAGTGCTATGAGCATAATGCATACTCATACACTCACACACT